AGGAAGGGCTGCAGGTTCTTTGAGCTCCGAGGTTGGATTGCTTGAGGGGACGTCATGTTGATGAAGCTGCAGTCGCTCCACAACGGGTGTCACAGCCGGGTGCTCCTACCATCCACTCCGCTTTGATCAGCGTTCACTCAACATGAAGTAACAAAGTGCATGCATGGGTTAACTGAAATGGTTCAAAGGGAAAACTTTCCTAGCAGTCGCAGTCCTCTGGGTCTGTAGGAGTAGGTTCACATGAAAGCATCAAGGTTCCATCCTCCTGGAATCATTGTTGATGATCACAAGCGGGGAAATCAACTCAACAAAAACCGCATACAAAAGTACCCCTACCAAAATCTCTCCCAACAATAGAAACACACCGCTCCTTTCTCGACAGCACGCCCAGAGACACAAGAAGCTCTTGAACTTGAGCATCCTGCATGGGTCTTGCAATTATAAAACGATGACATTCAAACGTCACATCCAAATTCTATATATGAATTCATGGTGTGCCCTCTAAATTTCAATGTTACCAGTGATTATCCCACTCGAAGTTGTAAATAGCCGTTCATCGCGCTAGAGTTGGAATTGACTAACCCACGTGTTTTGCAATGTTTTGCCTAAACCAGAAAAAATCCGATCCCTTCTCAAGTCCAAGTCCTTCGGCCAAGTCTTCACACCCTTTCTGTCGTTTCGGACTGTGCTTTTCAAGAGGTTTAGCAGGTAACGGATGTACCAGGCTTGGTCATTGCTTTGGGCATTGGTGATGCTCCGGTTGTAGATAGAGTACAGCTTTCGGACTTGTTCTGCAAGTGGGCCGATCGGAGGGAAATGTCCTTCTTGGCGTACCCACTGACAAACTACCATCAGCATCGGTGCATTTTCTTTGATGTTCCTCATGTTTTTGCCAACAGCAGTGTTTGTAAGCTTCTGCAATTTGGGATCATAGTGGCAGCAAAGGTTATACCCATCTCGCATCCTTTGTCTCACAGCCGGTGCGTCATCCCATGCAATTGCAAGGCGTCTTACATGGTCCGAAAGTATGTGTTTGGAAGGTTTCTCCTGCGGGAGGTCTCGGATTTCTGACATGTCCCCACGCGTCGGCATGAGCTAAGCACCAGGGGCTATTCAGGTTGAGAACTTTCAGGGACTCGGGCCGAAAAGGGGCACCTGACCGGCAGCCGCAGGTTGATCAATGACGGCAATGACTGCATGCCTGATCTCTGATCTAGTGTTTCACTCGAAAGATCTTAAAAAACCTTTGCACTTCCAATCAAGCAACCCTTGATCAGTGAAAGATGGTAAATAACACTGGATTCGGCCAGAACCTGGCCTGCAAGGCAGGCAGCCACCACGCCCGTGGCGGCAAAAAGTGGCAGCACATTTATCATGTACTGATGTCTTTACAAGTCTGTAAAGTCTACTGTGTAAGTTTCCATGATTCCATGATATTCCATGTGTTTTCACTTGTTTTGGAAGCTGCAATACACAGCTTGGAAAGTCAATGTGGAATTGACCGCAATGAAGCATCTTGATCAGCCATCGGCTGTGGGCGAAAAATGACTCCTCCGTCAGTGAACATGCACATGGATTACGGGTTCGAACGGGAGTTTACAGGTTCGAACGGCTTTTTACACCTTCGAATGGGATAATCACTGGTAACATTGAAATTTAGAGGGCACACTATGAATTCATATAGAATTTGGATGTGACGTTGGAATTTCATCGTCTTAGGTTTAGCAGGTAATAGATACATCATATTCCTCTAAGAAGGATCCCACAGAAGAGTGGTTGGACCAGAACAATGTGAGATAATGGAGGATGCAGCTGCCGAGATCATTCTCTACTTTAGACTCTAAAGACATGCCGCATGCCCGATCACTTCAGTCCCATTGGGTCTCTCATGAAGGTTCTCCAAGGTTCTCCAAGTGAAGTTACATGAAGTTACCCTACTTTTGAGCATTTGCTCTATCGCAACTCCCCAAAACAGATTGTCCAGTCCCGGGCTTGGAGAGCCTGCCATTCAGTCCGAAGAAGGAAATGGACCAAAGAAGGGCACGGCAACTGACTGCACCAGGTGAGTGGCCAAAGCCGTTGGGCATCACAGACCGGCGTCTAAGTTTGCCGGAAAAACTGGGATGGTACCAAATCCCAGTGCTGAACCGGAAAGCGGACGGCAGTCTACATGGGATCGTTCACTGGTGTGGTGGTCTGACCACCCCCCCCTGGGTGGTGCCGGACCTGGGTGGCACGAACTGCAAGGCGTAATGAAGCAGCTGCACACCCACATTGGCCAAAAGCACGGTGCTCACCCTGAGATGGCCGGGAGTGAAGGTGGCGGAGGGCGGCGGATCCAACTCGGATTGGCATGTGACATGTAAAATGATGACGTATACATTCACCAGCAAAAACCACCAATAAATCCAAGCGATATTGGCTTACATGGATCGTTTGGGGGCGGAAGTTGCTTGTTGACTGGGAGAGGCCTAACGAGGCCAAGGAATGGCCGGCTTGCCATCGTTTTCCGTCCCGTGTCTTGACACAACGTCCGCCTTCTTGGTGACTAAAAGGATGAAAGTGCCTTAGTGCCTTGCTCATTTGCACCTACCACCCGACCAAGTAAGTCAACTGAAGGAGCACCAATGGCTCATTCCCGGCATGTGTTGAAAGTTATCGGATTCACTCCAATTCTTCAAGTTGTAAACTATAACTTTGCAAACCTATCTCTCTATATATATATATACACGCAAAACAGTGTTACTGTATGCGTTCCTACGACAATGCCTACGCAAATCTCCGCCCCCAAGCAGAACAGCCTACGCAGCATCAAAAGCACTTCGAGTTTTGTATGAACTCACCTTCAAAGCAAAACCACAAACATGTTCGTATGAGTAGGTCCTAGGTAGGGAAACCCTGAAGAAAAAAAAGCAAAGCTGTTGTTCGAGTTGCTGTTCCTGGAAGGGCAAGTTGCGCAAGACCCTGAGAGAGGTCACCTGAAGGGCCACAAGCCGAGTGACCATGCCGAAAGCTGCTAAAGCTAAAGCTGCGAAAGCTTCAGGCTTGGTGCTACCTTAGCCTTAGCCTATTCCCATGCATTGTATACCGATATTTTGCATCGCCGCGCCTGCCAGGTGACCTTGTCACCTTTGCTGACAGCTTTGGGTTTACCCTTGGCCTTTGGCACGGAGCGACGACCATTGCTCAGCCACTCCTCAGCGACTCTTCGTGCGACCGCCGACCGCAGAAATCCTAGCAACCTTAGAAACGGATTCCATCACACGATCAATGTACTTCATTTGCTGTCCTTTACGGATCCACATCACGTCTGTTGGGGTAGCCGTAGTTGGATCCATAGGCTGTGGTCAAAAGACAACATCCAAGTGGAGGCTAAATGAAGTGACCACATCACCAGCTTGTCTTTCACGGGGGAGTATGCTCATTAACCAGGTTCGCATGTCACAATTGACAATTGGGCAATCAATGGCACTCATTTACTGCAAATATATTTGTATCAATCTGGGGACTCCAGCCCATGCCGCACATGGCCTTCTGAAAAGAACAAGCATCAGCCTTAGGTGCACCACTGCCTTGCAAGACAAAGAGCACCAATGCCTAGCAGCGGGCCGAACGACAGAAGCGAAACGCCACCTCCAGGATGTCCAGGATGTATGAAAGACAATCACATGAAGCTAAAACGCGTTAAAGCACTGTTCACTCTCTCAACCATTGATATTGATATGCATGCACTTGTCTTTGATCGTTTTGCTTGCAGTGACCACTCAGTTCGTTGGGCGGCCTTCGGGTCGCTCTCAAGCGACAACCGACTGGCTGATTCAGCTGGCTAGTTGCCCAAGTTTCCGGTCAAGCCCGGGGGGAGTTGACAGGAGCTGTTTTTTGGGTTGGAAAGACCATCAGCGAAGAAGTTCTTGGAAAATAGCAACATCTAGGTGCAAAACACACACACTTGTCATATGTTGTCATTCTTTGAGCACCGAGTTCCTTACATAACAAGAACAGCTGTTGATCTTGAGAATTGATAGGACCTTGCAGGTGGTGCCAGATCTGTTGTCTGGGCCTTTCCAAGTCTTCCTTTCCATGTCTTTCCAAGATGAGTCACCGCAGGTCCAACTGCAGTCACCGCAGGTCCAACTGCAGTCACCACGGACCCCCATCGAGCCTCCCCGCGCTTGGGCACACGGCCCTGCTCGGTAATCCGCAGGTCGCCCCACCGAAGCCGCACCTGGGCGATTCTGGACGGGGGTCGCGCCCGAACCCACCTGCGGACAGCAGGAACCATTGGTATTTACACTCCGACTCACTAACATGGAAATGGACAACCTCCTGTTTGTAAAGGAAAGTAGTAGTCTTCCAAGGGGTCATTTTCCACTTCCATGTTAGTGAGTCAGAGAGTACGATGCGTTTGGTTCATATTACTGTGTGTCATAATGGTATTTTATACAAGTACGATGCTTTGGGCGTTCTTCCACCCAACGTCACTAGTATGTACGATGTTTTCGGCGACCACTGGTGTAGGAGTTCCAACGCAAAAAACAGATACAAACACGCAACTTGGCCAGCGTGAGCCCAAGATTGGCCAGCCCAAAACTGTTGTAGATGTGGCTGTGGGTGACCCAACCAGGATGCCTTGGTGGAGTTACCTGGGAAGTTTGGGGTTTACGGCCCCATATCTAAGGAAAAAAGGTGTCGAGTCTTTCTGCTTTTTGGGTTTTGGACCACCGTCCGTGGACATGACGACGGTATTGATTCAACTGAGGTGCTACCCGAGTCGTTTCCGGCAAAACATCTCGAAGACATCTTCATCCCCTCACCGAGCACCCATCACCTGCGCTCAACCAGAAGCGACACGTGTCGACCCGTTCTTAGACGCCCTCCATGGGGCATTCACCCAATGAATGTGTCCGTCGCTCTTCTTGGTGCTTGTAAAGTCCAGCAGTTGGAGTCGATCCACGAAAGGGCGGCCGGTCTCCTGGTCACATCGCACCGAACATCACGTGACTACTATACATCAAACAAATGCTACCGACCAGCAAACACCAACGAAAAACATCGAAAAAACACCAACATTATCCAACATGAGAAGTGCAACAACATGCTCGCTTGACTTTGGTTCGCTTTCCACTTTCTATACTGTGCTATTGTGCCATGTGCCCATTGCAGCATACTTGCATGTACAGTCAACTTTCACTCTGAGTATCAGAATCCTTTATGGACACATGGGCAGTGACAAAAATGGCAGCTATGCAACCATGTTGGCAACGACGAAAGCTCCATGCAATAGGCGTAGGCCACCATCTGCCGCCAGCCAGGAGGGAGTTCCTTCTCATTGAATCTTCGAGGAGAGCTTGGCCTGTGGCAAAGGTTGGGCTATGCAGGTGGATTTCACCAGGGACGAGCGCTCAAAGAAATCAGAAGTGAACCGACCGCAAATATCTCAATATCTCAATATTACTTATCAAAATATAAACTATATATATATATATATAACCTGGTTGAATCTGACGGGTGCTCACACACAGAACGCCTCTAAAGATTTTTTAAGGCTGTACAGTATCTGGTACCGCAAACGCCATCCACATGTGCCTGGGAACCTCAGCTTAGTTTGGAGACATCCTCAACGGTCCTCAACTGCAATCTTGCACAGAAACAACCTCTCACTCCATGTCTTGGCATATGCTTTGCACGTCTCGTCCAAGCACCCACTTTTGCATCCTTCCGAGACTTCCGAGTGCTCACCGCGGAAACAAACTACCGCAGTGCTCCGGGATCCACTTCGCGGACCGCCAAGAAGGCACACTCGAAGAACTTTACATGTGGACTTGGACATGGCCGGCCAGCGCGAGTGAGACCACCCTTGCGCAGTCAGAGGGGTCTCCCTGGAGGCCCTTCTGCAAAAAGCGAGGCAAGGTCGAGGAGCCCACGAAGTTGGCGGCAGCCCACTGCCGGCAGTTTTGGAGGTACAGTCGAGCCCCCGCAGCGACCAGCACTGCAGCGCATTCGTAGTGAGCGAACTGCAGGGCTGTCATCAAGGGGGTGCTGCCATGGCTGTGGTAGCAGAACGTAGAGAACATTAGAGAACTGCGTCTGCTGCCCAAACCGGTGCTTCATCTCCACTAGTGCAAAGATCATGCGCCCCGGCCGGGATAAGTCACAACGAACATCAAACTGGAAGTCCACGTCTGCCCTGAGCTCAATGAGATGATCCGCGATTTCAGCTGAGCAGGCGTGGCCCAAAGAGGCAGCTCACGGGGGCTGTGCACCTGAAACTGTAACAGTTGCTCCAGCACCTCCATATGGCCAAAGTTCGCCGCCCGTTGCTGCAGCGTTCGCCGCCCCACTCATGCCAAAGACGTTGCTTACCTTGACATCGCCCCCAGCTGCACAAAGCAAGCGGAGACCTTCCACGTTGTTCGACGTAGCGGCGAGGTGGATGGGGTGTTCGACTCCACCATTCAGTTCTGCTCGCAAGCTGATCAGCAGCTGGGCCGCATTGTTGTGCATATAGAGCCAAGTCCAGCGCTGAAACCCAAGGGGGAAAGCCAAGCGTCGGTTCAGCTTTGGTGGTCCGCCTGTTTGGATTGGCACGCTGCAGGGGCAGGCCATTGACCAGCTGTGTATTGCCGGACAATGCTGCATAGTGAAGGGGCAACCATCCTGCCCCATCCTTCTCTGTGATTCTTGCGAAACCCGTTTTGATAAAAGAAAGCTTCCACCAAGTCCTGGTCCTCAGTGGATGTGGGCAGAACGTCCTCAATGGGCTCAACCTGCAAATGACGCAGGTGGACGTTCTGTAGGTTCAAGTTCCTGCGGTACAGTAGGCCGGCAAATCCCCTGCCCTGAGACAAAGGGTGTTTGTGCTTGATGATGTCTCGCATCACAACTGCCAGCTTCGTGCGATCTTCCTCAATGGTAAACTCGCCTTCCCCAACTGTTCCAGGAACGAAGTCACTCACCACTTCCAGAAAATCTGAACTTTGCACCAAAATCCAGCTGTGATTGGCTGAGAGCTCACGCGCAGCTCTTTCTAGCCTGCACCAGCCTCGCCTGGTCCAGTTGTTCATTGCCAACCACCATCACCAAAACAAAAAAAAACGATTAGAAAAATAACAATGGGTTAAGTTATGTGGATGTCACCCATTCAACTTCCCCGCGGCAATCTAAAGACCATTGAACATCGAAACCTCCAGAGAAAAAATAACACCACTGAAAAGAGCACATTGACATCAAAATGGTCCCTACGTCGCCTGGCCCAACTGGCAGTGCTCAGAACCTGACCCTGAAAGGGGGAGTCCAGCGTCGGACACAAAGCAAAAAAGAAGCGACATCGGGCAATGTAGGCAGGGATGCTCTGGATGGCGTTGGACTGTTCGTTGTGCATGCATGTTAATGCACATTGTGGCACGGAGAAGTAGTCGTACCAAATGAAGAGCTGCTTCGACTGAAAGTTTTGGTGTACAATGCCAGGTGCGGTGTCCATACTATATGCTGCCCTGGCAAAATCTGGAGGAACAAACCCCTGCTTGTAGAGAAGACGCTTCAAGGCATCCTCCAAGACCTGCATTTGCTCACCATCGGGGTCAGGGTGATGCGTTGCAACCCACTGATGCCTATGCTCTCCTCAAAGACAACGAGGTTCCCATCAGCCTGACACGTGCGAGGTGCTGCGCAAGGTCTTCACTTTACTGACAGAATCCCCGTTGCTACCAGATAGTGAGGTTCACAACCCCATTTTATCCCAAAATTGGTAATCTAAAATGACTGGTCACACATTGAATTTAACAAGTACACAAAGAACACAACTCTCTCGCAAAAGCCTGTTTTCCAATCTGGCCAAATTGACAAGTTTGCAAATAGATCCGTGCCAACCACTTTATTTAAGACCCATTTTAGATAACCCTCAAACAAAATGAGTCCAATAAAATGGGGCTTTCCGTGCTCGGCCACACCCATTTGAGCGGTCGCTGGTGGGGATCTGAAAGAGTGGCACTCCTAGACCAACGAGGCACAACTCCATCAACCTGCCTTGAGTTCTTCATGAGGGCGAATGGTGGTCATCTCGAGGAGGACTTCTGCAAACACTGTGTACATGGGGAACATCATGGTAAGAACCTCCGTTCGGCACTATCATGCTGTCACGGGGCTTGGGATGGCTTGGGCTTGGTGGTGCCTGGCAACAGTCTCAGAATCACAATGCAGGAGGAACAAACACGCCAGAACCTATGGAAAGCACACCCTTTTATTCTGTCTTCTTTTTTTTTGGGGGGGGGGTTAGATTTGGTTGATTTATTTCCTGCGCTTGGCTCAGCATCGGTTGTCGGAGCCTTTGCACGGTGCGTTGCCCCTGACCCTAATTCATGGGATTCCCTCACCTCAACCACAGGTTTGAGGCCTGGCCACTGGGATGAAGTGCTTGTGATTCTCAGAATCCAAGTTCACAGCACACTTCTATCAATTTCAAGAGTTCTGTCATGTACTGTATGTTGTGTGCTCTCGTATGTATTTTGGCAGCATTTGGCTAAAGGCCTGCACATGGAGTTCTGGGAAAGCATCGGGCGGAGTTGGGTGTCAGAAGGCAAGTTGTGCAGCCTCAAGCATTTGGCTGGAGGTCTTGGATATGCAGCGACGGGGACGTCATAATATATCATGTAGATACTGTAGATGTATAGAGATGTTTGGAATCTAATTACTGTCATCTTGCAGAAATCCTGCAGATCCTGAAGGCTTCCACCTTGCAACAGAACCGAAGTGTTCTGTGTATGCCCGCAACCCACAGGACCCTTATTGGGTCATAACAGCCTCTTTTCTGGGTGGCCGACGGTCCCACAACAGGTTTACACATCGCACGTCCTTTGATTTGTTTCTTGCAGGAAAGTTGATTAAACAAAAAACAGGAATTCTTGATGCCCTGTTGCCCTGCTTGATTGAGTCTGCAGTTGAGATTGAGATTGCTGTGCTTCTCTCTTGATGCCATTTTGGTCTATAAATGAGTTAGTTCAGAGTGTTTCAAGGGCCATGCCGTGAGTGTTGAATAATGATGGATAATAAGGGTTCGGGGTTGGTTTTGCCCGAACTTGGTTGGCCTTGGTTAGCTCTGACTGGGACCAGTAAAGACATCGAGGATGGACATCCCCCATCCTTTCTATACTTTCTATACTTGCCATTGCTAATTTGCGTCTTGGATGCCAGGCCCAGTGGCTAGCAAACTCACTGAGAAAACCCAGCGAACAAAAGCATCCAAACTCCTAAACAACCTCGATCAACCATGTTGATTCATGTTGGCAAAGAACAAACCATGCATTTCCCTAGGGCTCCAAGTACCTTCTCAGAAGGCACGACTGGACCCTCCACAGCCACCCCAGTCCCACCTTCTGAGAAGGTACGACTGGATCCCTAGGGTTTGTTTGAGTATCCCAGACCCTCCATGTATGCCATATATGCTTACATTGGGGTGGTGTCAATGTAGGCATATATGGCATACATGGAGCGTCTGGGTATTGACTTAGGGAGGTTTGGGAAGCCCACCAGAAGCCCAGGGGCGTCATCAGCAGGCAAAGAGCTGGCGAGCAGCTGTAATGCAGTCGGTGGGTTGTTCGACACGCATCGCGGCATGGGCGAAGAAATGGAGACAACCCCCAAGCCTACACCCTGAGCAGCTGCATGGCCTCATGCTTGGAGGGTGGATGTCAACGAATGACGGATGCTAGACATACGTGAAGCACCTATATACGGGGCGGAATGGCCGGCTTTATACACTTTAGCAGCGAAAGGCGGTTTGAGGTTCCCCAGCCAAACCTCGAACTCGGGGCAGTGGGCGTCGAACACCTGGCTGCATCAGTTCGCACCAGGCTCGGTGGCCTGGCGGCACTCCACCTCTCAAAACTGCCCTCACACATGCCAAGAATGTCGGGCAATCTGCCATCCTCATCCATCTTCCCAAATTATTCAGTTCCACTCGCTGAGAATACCACATGAAACCGTGTGGCTTGCTTCACCACACCTCCATTCATAATTGCGCTGCATTTACTTACACTCCGGCTCACTAAGTATGGACATGGAAAAGCATGGAAAAGCCAAAAGCCAAAAGCCATGAAAAAGCAAACCTTGTCTTGCCTCTTTCTAAAAGGAAACGTCGTCTTCCCAGCTAATTACTAGTAACAAGGGTGTCGGCATCGCTACTAGTAGCTCCTGGCATTACTACTATAGAAACAAACAACTACTAGTAACAAGGGCATCGCCACTAGTAGCTCCTGGCATTACTACTACTATCATCTACTATCTAGTAACCAGAAGCTACTAGTCACAAGGGCATCGCTACGAACGAAGCAAGAAGCTACTACTATTCCACGTCAAATCTTCACCCGGAACCGCCTCCGCGGCGAGGCAGCGCCCCCCACACGGGCCGACGAGGCACCGCCCGCGACCGGCGACGTGGTGCCGCGCGGCCACTCGCCACGGGGTGAGGCTCCACGTGAGGGTGAAGCACCACGGGGAGGTGAAGCGGCACGAGCCTGGTGTTGGGAGGAGGAGGATCAAATTGGATTGGAACATGCTCCCGAGATTGCACAAAATGGACTTGATGACACTACTGGAAGATCTTGAAGCCATTTTGCGATACTTTCGGGCTTAGGCTGTATACAGGGCTGAGGGACCAACCACACAGCAAAACAAAGCATCCCACCACGTGTCGGCCACCCTTCCAGCTCATCATGGCGGCCTGAGCTGCAGAGCGCATGGACTGTGACAAGTTCGTGGAACGTAACGAGGAGCTCATGGTCGTGGCTGGTGGAGTTCCACGCCCCAAGCCGGTGTCCACCCTTGCAGGCGCCGCCTTCAACTCCTTCAACTCCTTCCACTCCTTGGACTCCTTCGATTCCTTTGGCTCCTTCCTCTCCGCAGAAGCGCTCCGCGACCGCGGAAGAACACCGCTCCGCCGCGCGGAGGACGCCGCCGCGGTCGCCGACCGCGTCTCGGGGCGGCTCTCGGGGCGACTCTCGGGGCGGCTCTCGGACCGGCTCGAGGTGGCGCGGCGGAGAGGCGCGGAGGTGCGCGGAGCTTCCCAGGGCGGCCGGGTGTAGGTCGTGCTCCGCCATGGAGGCTCTGGCTGGGGAGTGGAGCTACGACGAGAGACTCTGGAAGCTTCTGAGCTGGTCTTTGACCTTGCAAAAGAAGGCTCCACTGAATGATGCGGAAGTGGGCCATGGTATGTCATATCTGAAGCCCGGGGCCCGGGGCTGCTAATTTAGCAACGGAGCTCTACTAAGCCCTAACTTTGTCCAAAAAACCAGGATGCAATTGCATGACAAACCTTAAACAAGAATCTCACACCTCTTGCACTCCTAGTTTGCCAGCAAGCCCAACCAACTGTCAATGGACTGACTAGTTTAAGCAATAATCATGGAACACCTACTATAATCTACTATACATACTCTCCATTCCACCCATTCTGGGACGAAAAACCGGACCTGAACACCCCGCTTTTCCTCTGCAACCTCGCCGCATCAGCTTGGACCTTGCCGTCTGCGGTCGGCTGGAGGCCTCGAAGTCGCCCCGAAGCAGCGACTGGATCTGCGCCAGGCGATTCTGCTCCTCCATGGAGCGCAGCGTGGCCTCGTCCTAAAGCGGCCCCGAGCTGGACCAGCTTTCGGCGGTGAAGACACATGGGAAGCTGGGCTGGATTGATCAAACTTGTCAAAGACAGGCAATAATAAATCAACACAGTTTCACCGCAGAAATTGCACAATCCCCAATCCGTGGCAGTCACGTCGACCCTCGCCGACCCTCCCGGCCATTCTCGCCTGCAAACGGCGGTTCTCTGCTTCCAAGCTTAGAATCCGATGCTTAAGATCCGTGTGAGACTGGGCAAGCTTGGCCAAGGTTTCCTCAGTGAGTGTCTTAAAAGCATTCACCCATGTTCAACCCCACCTGGATGACTCAACTGTTCAATTGTCAACTATAGGACATGTATATATATATATAATTATATATACAGGGTATATATGCATATATATATATATATAGTATATGCGATGTAATGCACAGCTCAAGTCCCATCCATTCCTATCCTATCCTCCTCCATCCATTCCTCCCATCCACACTCCAACTCGTCCACATCGCCATACACACCAGGTATATCATAGATCGGCCCCCGAGTTGAAAACGGCCCAAAATTAGATGATCAATGATTCGGTCCCCCTTGGAGGGTCTCTTTTTGTCACCAGGTCACCGCATACAGCAAAGGGCTCAAGCCGGGTGCTTCCGGCGCCTCCTCTGGCGCCGAAGTGTGCTGCGGTGAGGCTGGCGAGGTGCTTGGAAGGTCATCCTCGGCCCGCGCGGCGTTCCAAGAAGTCCAATTGGGACTAGACCATGCATTGAGAGGCAAATTTTTTCCTTACAGTTTTTTTTAATTGACATGCTTTTTGGGATGTTCATGTTGGGTCTACTCTTTTTTGGAAGATCTATCGGATCTGTCGCTTCATGCTGGCCACCAACTGTACCAAGCAAGTGGCTTTTATGCAAGTGCCGTAGAGATACAGATTTGGTCAGTATCCTAATGCATATGTGTTTTGAAGACCCCAATTTTGTCTCCCTCTCTCTCTCTCTCGTGTCTGGGAGTTAAAAGTTGTGGTCCAAGTTTTGCGTGTCTGATGAGGTGTCTGCTATGGCTTTTTCACCCCATTTAAGTTTGGGCTACGCTTCTTCAAAGCAAGACAAGCAAGTTCCATGTCTGGGGGCATGAACTCCGTGGACTCAGCTGCTCCCAAGCGTCGCAGCGGACATCAGGCTCCACGCTTCGCGGATTCGGCACGTTGGTCGTGGCAGTCCGCGGTCTCTCTGGGGTGGGCGGTAACAAGCTGGGCTCCGGACTGGCAGGCTCCTGGCGCAGTCCGCATCTCTCTCCCTCTCTCTCTCGCTCTTCTGTCTTGTCTCCCCCTCCCCAGTCTGACTCTCCAAACCATTGGTCCCAGCAGTTCAGAAAAGACCAATCTCTGAAGTTCTTGCTCAAATCTCACTCGCCTCATCTCGCCTCTACCCCTCTGCATGCCAGCGACCCTGTGAGTTTGGGTCCATGAAGCCATCGCCGGTGCCAATCCACCCCCTCCCTGGTCGTCACCCGTCCACCCCCCCATCTCCTCGTAGCGAATCCGCCGGTCTCCACGGTTCGAGTCGGGCGACCGAGCGGGAGAGGCTTCGAGCCCAGCTTCCACGTTCTTCAGTTCCTCTGTCTTGGCCTCGCCCGTGGGTCGAACGGACGACATGGCCACTGACAGGGTCAAGTGCTTGGTATCAATTACACCGCGTTGGTGCCTGAACAAGTGCTTGGTGGCAGGATGTTTGGGGGTCGGTGGAGTGGACCATGTCTTTATGGATAAATGTCTGCCAAGCCATGGTTTTGAGTCGAGAATCCGAGTTGGGGACATGTGCACAGCCAAAATCTAAAGTGGACGATTCCGAAAGAATTGACCCCTGAATTCACAGGAGCATTGTGTGTGTAGTTGGCAGTCTGAAACACCAATCACTGGAAGACCATCGGAAACAACATGCATTAAATACATGATATATGGTCTTGGAGGAGCATAACCAAAAGGTCTCTGCCATTTCTGCAGGCTCCTTTTGATGCAGGTTTTCGCTCGGTGGCACACCCCGGAATCAAACCGCCTGAATCTGCTCAGAGAGGAGGTGCATACCTCCAAGCAGCATGAAGCACGGAAGCACCGCTCATCTCCAATAACTACATGATGTGCTATGTGCCGACTCAGCCATGTTTTGCCTGCTCTCTCTCTCTCTCTCTCTGTATCTGTAGCTGATGGTTCATGTTCAAGCGTCAAGCCTCCTAGCCCATCAGGCCCATCAGTAACTACCAAGACCTGCTGACAACCACGACAAAAATTGATCTATGCCGCCAGCCATCAATTTTGGGACTGTCAACAGGAGGTTGTTCATGGCTCTGCTGAAGCCTGCTAGCCCCACACACACACACACACTTCCTCTCGGTCTCTGCCTCTCTCTCTTCTCTCTTGTCTCCCCCTCGCCAGTCTGACTCTCCAAACCATTGGTCAACCAGCAGTTCAGAAAAGACTAATCTCTAAAGTTCTTGCTCAAATCTCACATCTCACTCGCCTCTACCCCTCAAGTCAATAAAGTCATCTCTAAAGTGATCTGAGTCCTGAAATGTCCTGAAACAACCTCCAGAACAGTCTAGGTACATCCCAAGTCTGTCCCAGGATTTTGGCTCACAATGTCATATATATGCTCATATTCACTTCATCCATTTCACCAGATTTCAACCAAACACAGGCTTCCAACGCTCGCTCACTTCTAAGCAAACAAAGTTGCGCTCCTGCGCCGCCCGTGCTCAGCTGCCCTCCTGCCTTTGGACAACAAAGAAAGCTTATCCTGAAGGTTCTCTGGGCTGGTTTTCGGTGCAGACTCGCAGCCCAAAGCTGAGAGGACCTGAACGGTGAGCTGTTGAGCTCGGCAGGTCGGTTGCAACAGCTCGGCATGTCGGTGCACCGCTGAACATCTTCCTGAAGGAGATCCCCACTGCAAAAGTGGGATAGAAACAAGGGTTAACTGTTAACTTGTGTTTCTTTAGTGGATTCCGTCCGGTCCAGGAAACCCGAACCTCCACTTGAGTTTCTATCGCTCCCTGATTTGCAAGAAACGAATCAGCCGGAAGTATTGGTTGCCAACAGCTCAGCCAATTGGTCTCCGACTGTTGCCAACTATCCCCAAGGATCCCCATACACTTGGGGATATTTGGGGG